AGCCTGTGCGGCCGCGGGCACGCCCTGTGCGCGGCGCTGCGCATGGCCTTCCTGGCCCTCTACGTCCTGCTGCTCAGCGGGGAGCCCGTCGACGCCTTCGTCTGCGACCAGGTGCGGGGCCGGGGCGGGCGGGGAAGGGCCGTGGCGGAGAAGAGGGGGCTTGGTCGCCTGACAGAGCGAGAAAGGGAGGAGATCCGGAGCGGGAGGGCCTGGGGAAGGAGTGCTGCTCGGTGCCCTTGTGGAGGGGAGAAGGGAGGAGGCGGTGGGCTTGCAAAGGGCTGCCTCTCGGGCCGTGGCTTTGGAATGGAATATGTGGCCGGCGGCGCTAGCGCAAATAACTGATCCCTCCTCTTGTTCTGCCCCTTCTGGTTGCACTAGGTGTCTGCGTGCATTCCTGTGCTCAGACTGGCCAGGGTCCGTAAGAAGGTTTTGTTTTACTGTCACTTCCCTGATCAGCTTCTCACCAAGAGAGAATCTCTCCTCAAGCGGCTCTACAGGTTACCACTTGACTGGCTGGAAGAGTACACCACTGGCATGGCAGACTGCATTGTTGTGAACAGCAAGTTCACTGCCAGCGTGTTCAAGGACACCTTTAAGTCCTTATCTCACATAAACCCAGGTGTTCTCTACCCATCACTCAACATCAGTAGCTTTGAAGCAGTAGTTCCTGCAGACATAACTGATCTGATACCCAAAAAGAAAAAGTTCCTGTTTCTTTCCATTAATAGGTATGAGAGAAAAAAGAATCTAGCACTGGCTCTCGAAGCTTTGCATGAGCTTCGAGGAAGGCTTGATCCTCACGAGTGGAATGAAGTTCACTTGGTTATGGCAGGGGGTTATGACAAACAAGTCCTGGAAAATGTGGAGCACTACGAAGAGCTGAGGAGACTTGCAGCCAAGCTTGATATTAATGACCACGTCACTTTTCTGAGGTCGTTCTCAGATGAACAGAAAGTCTCTCTTTTTAGTAACGCTGTGTGTGTGCTTTATACGCCAAGCAACGAGCATTTTGGCATTGTTCCTCTGGAGGCAATGTACATGAGGTGTCCCGTTGTAGCAGTTAATTCAGGCGGTCCTTTAGAATCAATCCTGCATAATGTCACAGGATTTTTGTGTGATCCTCTGCCCACGCAATTCTCTGAGGCCATGGAAAAGATTGTGAGAGATCCTCTCTTAAAGGACACAATGGGAGCAGCTGGGAGAGTCAGAATTATGGAAAAATTTTCCCCAGAAGCATTCACGGAACAGCTGTACCAATATATATGCAGATTAACACAATAAAATTATGTTCCCATAGTATATTTACAGTTTTGTGTCTCTCGTCTGTAGAGGGAACCGGTATTCATTGTGACTGTGATGAAGAACCTGGGACACGTGAATTTCCTTGTTACGCTGCTTCTGCCTTACCTTGCTTGATACAAAGAAGGAGCAAAACACGTTGCACTGTTTCATTAGAAGGTTAAAATGTCCATGTGGTGGACTGATCTGCCATTGCAGGAGTTCCTTTGTGTGCTGTGCCTTGGAAAAATGCTTTGTTAAATTGCAGGAACTCACTAGGAAATTACTGCACGTTTTACTTTATTACTGTACAGTATGACTGATTCAACTTTCAAAATGTGGACTTGTACATACAAGACAACCACAGCTTTATTTTTATGTAGTTAAGATGTTCATCAGTAATTTTTAATAAAACAGTCGTCCGAAGTGTGGAGAGAGTCGAGCCAACTGCATTGTTTACAAGGAACACCACCATTAAGAATATGAATGAAGTGGTTTTGTGTGGTAATGGTAAAATGATTGACCTTTTACTGTACTTCTCAAGTTGCATCATGTAATCACGCTGGGTGTCATAAACAAGCATAAAGGTGTGTGTGCAGGAAGAAGCAGAGACTAGAATAAAACCAAGGACATATCTCGGGCAAAAATGTTGCTGTTGAAATACTGTGCAGGTACCCACAGTGCTTAAGGGTGTGATTTTTGCTTTCCAACTTTCTGGTTTGTAGAGACTTAAATGGTGTCCCCCTTGTTTAACATTTCATTAGAAATTATATATAACACATTTTGTTTTAAGAGATGGTAATCTGGAGCAGCAATAAAGACCTGTTGTATTTTGCCTGTTTTAGTGGTAACTTCTCGGTATAACTTTGCTGAGTAGTTTAGCTTGGTGATAACTTTCCTCTTGCTGCAAGTGACTGCCCATGTGTCAGTAATTTGACTTGTTTTTTCAGGTGTAATACCTGGTTTGAGTCAAGAGATACCTGATTTTTTAATCTGCCACTCTAGCAAATCTTCATTAGTTGGCTGTTCTGTTTGGTTTCCACACAATCCATACATTTAAATTTTAAGTCCAAAAATGAATTAATTAACTATACAATTTCCTTGTTCTTTGAAATCCAGTTTTATCTATAAAATACGATTTTGTAGTCCAAATTCTGCAATTTGCATTTAAGATAAAGGCACTGTCACATTTAGTACTTGACAACAGGGATCAGTCCTTCCATCTGCAACCTAAGTCTCGGTATAAGGCATTTATTTAAAGTAAAACAAAAATCCACAAAGTCTGGCCTTGTCTTTATCAGGAAGTTAGGGTATATGGTATAACCATTATGGTTATTCATTGTGGACTGGGAGCAGGTGGTTTCACAGGTTTCATAATGTCCGACATTTTCTGTTCATGTCAGAACTGGCAAGCCTGAATCTGTCATCTCTTTAGTCTGTTCCTGCATTTGTTCCTTCCCCACCAATTAAATGTTTTCTATAAATCTTTGTGCCAGTTTTTCAGAATGAGTATAGCAATGACTGACTGAAGGGTCTGGAGAGAGAGAAATAATTTCTGATCATTGATGTGAACACTTTCAAGAGATATTTGGCCTGGGTTTTAAGCTCTAGTTAGAGAGTGCAAGATGGTTGGAGTTGATTCCTGTGGCTGCTAAGTTTATCATAGAATCTTGGAGTGGCTTGGGTTGGAAGGGACCTTAAAGATCATTTAGTTCCAACACCCCTGCATGAACAAGGACACCTCCCACTTCTTGACAAGAGAGGTACAAATCAACTCCTCTTTGGCTCTTTATGGTTGAGGTTCAGCAATCCTCAGTAATCCTGGGTGGATTGCAGCTTGAAAAATAACATGACATCTGTATAAATTACCTCAAGATTTTTTCTGTGTCCAGTATTTATGTTAATTTTCTGTTTTACATTCTTGAGTGTTACTTCTGTGCATGAGGAGATCTAACTATACTGAAATACTACGTAGTGTCTGTAACCTTTGAAATTAAAGCTGTGGTTTTGGATTTTGCAGTGTCTCCAATGGGTATGTTCTCTTGAGCTTCTCTTCACCTAGTCCCATACTTTCCTTTCACTACAGCTGTTTTAAAGACCCACATACTATAACAAAGCTATAGGTTTACGGAAGAAAGAAACTTTTTGTTTCAGAAATGCAATTTTTCAGTCAATTCCTTATTTTGTGCTGATGCAGCTTTGTTTCCTCTCTCCTTCCTCTCCTCCTTTTTGGAAATCAAACAAGAATCCTGATTATGCAAGTAGAATTCATGATATCAATTAAGTAGAAGCAGCTCCATCATAAGAGGACATTAAGTGCCCATATTTTACAAGTTGGCATGTTCTGGGTGATGTTGAGTACATTTTGTTGTACATCTCTAGACCAACACAATGCAAGTAAACAAGGCTGGCCAATTCTGAGTTTCTAAAATGGCAGATTTTCAATAATTATTTGTACCTGTATCAAACCTGTTTTAGAAATCCATACTCTGTTTGTATAGCTTTCTTCCTTTCTCCTTTATTAAAAATAGTAATAGGAGAGTTTTACTTAAATCAGATTGCAAATGCCTTGTGCAATCTGCTGTCAGAAGAAATATTAAGTATTATACTAGTACAATTAAATAACTTATAGTTAGCCCAGAAGAAAATGAAGGTTTTAAATTCATATCTCACTAGTGTGATGTGAAGGATGATGCAACAGGAAGAAAATGGTTGCAAAGAAAAAAATCATGTCCTATCCTCTCCCATATCTGCATAGCTTTCTACCTGCAGTTAGAACCAAACATATAAAAAGAAGCCAAATACAAAAGCTTTCTAAAGAACAGTTGGGAGAAATAAGGGCAGAGTACTAGGTGTGAACAACAGAAGGCAAGAGGAGAGGTGATTAGGTTGCAGAGTTTCTTCACTTACCAATTTTGTGGGCTGGAAAGTGGAAACCCACAGTTTTCCTTCTCCAGTTTACCTGTGATACCTACAGTAAATAAGGTAAGCCACAAACAAATAATTTTGTATGTGTAATTTTTATACTCTCATTTTCAGATTATAAATATAAACCAGAGTAACCACAATCTCAGGATTAAACCAGCCTGCTAATGCAGCTTTATTTCCCTCTCCCCCACCCCTTTGTAATATTTTTTTACAATTTCACACAATATAAAAAATTTATAGACTTTAACACTTACATGGAGTCTATAAAAACGTCATGCTACATTATCATCTTGCTAAACTTTAATCCTTTTTTTATATTGGTTTTATTGTTCTTGCTCATGATGAAATGGCTGATATTTTATTTTGACTTGTAATTTATTTTACAGTTAATATCACTGGGGTATTTTTAATGAAACAATAACGGTAGAATACTGAAAAAAAAGTAGTATTATGAAAGGGGTATGTTCAATAGCATGAATATTCACACAAATAGTAGAGAAAGAAATAAACACTTTGATTTTAGTTACCTTTATCTGCTTTGATGGTGAAAGTAGAACCTGTGACACAAAAAGAAGTAAATCAGAAGTTAGTCTCTATTGATTTATTTATGCCATTTATTTATGCCCAAAATTGATTGAGTTCATTCCAGATTTTTGCACTGTTAGTCATATGGGAAGACCAACACGTTTGACCTCATGAACTCTGAAACAAATCTATGAGCATTATGGTATCTTTATTACTCCAGTTCCTGTGCACTGAAGGAGAAGAAAAATGTAATGATTGACAAAATGAAAAGAAAAATAATTTGGAGTTGTTTCACAGGAAGAAAGGCAGAGTTGCTAAGTTTTAAAACCCTTACGTAAGATAATCAATCCCTGGGAGATAAGCTTTTGAACAACCTACACTACTACTACAGGCACATGCCATATTTAAATTTTTAATTGGCACCCCTCTTCTAGGACCTGGTACATGAGACAGACCATTTGCTCCTGCATCCTCCTTTCAAAAAAACAACTTTTCTTTACAGAGTGAAATCCAGGCAAATTAACATGGCAAAGGACTGCTCCGAGGAGCTTAGTGACGGCATGCTAGCAGGACATTTGACCATCCAGCAGGGTGACAGAGGTCCAAGCAGATGTCCTACAGGAGCAGCACAAGTCATGCAGCAGCTGAATGAAGATGCCTGATGTTCTAGTGGGAGCTCATCAGTGGTCGGGAAGAATAGAGCCATCTTTGGTGCTAAGGAAGGAAACAGCACTCAGGCCAGGAAGAAATCCAGGACCACCTCAATAGTCCCCAGCTACCTACAATCAATCCTTTCTCTTACCTCTCACTAACTGTCTGGATCCAGTCAGGATAGAGTTAGACTTCCAGGGAGAAGCAAAGGGCTTCAGAGCCCCATTTGGCCCCATTTGGGCCTTAGTGATAAGGGGCAAGGAGCCAGGAACAGTGTGTAATAATGAGGTGGGAATCTCACTGGATGCACCAAGGTGAGCAGGGCAGACCTAGGGACAACAGGATGTGTGAATTGTTGAGAACAGCTGTTGCACAGCTGTGAACTTAGTGCAGCAGAAAGGTACCCAGAAGGCAGCCTGTAATCTAGGCAGGTTGCAGTGTCAGCTGGGTGAAAGAACTGGCTCTGTAGCTGTTTGTCCCCATATTAATCAAAATACTGCAAATATGTCATATTGTGAAAGTATCTCCCATTTCTACCGAGAGGGGATGTTTATTTCACTCAGAGCTAGTTTCTGCTTTAATAGTGCTTATAGGAGAGAATGCTTTGTCACATGTCAGCATGGCAAATATATCAGCCCAATGTAGAGTATGAAATACAAATAACAAACAGGAAAGTCTGAAGAGAGCTATTGACTGGAGTGAGTTTCAGCCCACATATCCCCTCAAAGAGTCTGGAATACCAGGCATCATGATGGTGAATATATTACAGAGATCAGTAATGGAAATCACATTTGAATTGTGACTGCTGCATATTACAGTTGTGATTTTATTTGTGATTTAAAGACATTGCTACATCACTGACAGATCAAAATCCTGTGTAATATAAGATGACTTGCAAGTAAACCAGTAGACTTGTTAAACAT